CTCTCAGCCTCAGAGAAAGACAACATCAACAACAACAAGAACAACACTATAGTCCACCCCCACCCCCTCAATAGACTGAGGGACCCTGAACTGGCCTTCTGCTTATAAAGTTTGAGGACCCTTGACTACATTGAACCGATATGCCTGTATCATAAACCATATTCCCATTACCTTCTGTTGCCCGTTTTGACCTGGCTGCAGCTGCTGGATTGGGGCCGACAGTCCTCAAAAAGAGCCTGGTTTTCTCCTTCTGGGCCGCGCTTTGCCCATCAAACGCATCAGAGACGCTCCTGAAGAAGGCGACTCTCTCTTGCTGAGGAAGACGATATGCATTGAAATCATATACAAACCCAGCATATATGGGCACAATACAGAACATGGGTCAACTTACTGCATTAATGCGATTCCAAATGGAGCGGTTTATGTAGAAAGCCAGAGGCCCGAGGTCTTCTAGGGTGCCATCATTCCAGGACTCAGGAGCCCTATAAAGGCAGAAGAAATATCATCATCATCATCATCATCATCATCATCATCATCATCATCATCATCATCATTGCACACAGGGAAGTGAGACATTTTGCAAAAAAAAAAAACATTAAAAAGAGAGGTTAGCTCAGGCATGGGCAAAGTTCATCCCTCCAGCTGTTTTGGACTTCAACTCCCACAATTCCTAACAGCCTGCTGGCTGTTAGGAATTGTGGGAGTTGGAGTCCAAAACACCTGGAGGGCCGAACTTTGCCCATGCCTGGGTTAGCTCTTTTGGAGCCATCACTCACTTGTACGGAGACATTCCGTTGCTCAGGCGCGCATTGAGGGCCATGATTTGGGCTTCGCTGAGTTCGGGGCACAATTTCAGGTTCTGCAAAACCTCCGGGTCAGAGTCGTTGATGACAGAAGCATCCATGTCGCACACAAAGGCCCCGAGGTGCTGGAGATGCGCTTTGCTTAAAGTAGTGCTTCCCACTCCCTTGAAAAAGAGGCAATGAGTTTAATGTTTAGAGCAGAGCTTCCCAGACTTCCCATCTTGCTGAGTAGATAAATAGGTACCACTTCGGTGGAGAGGTAAAAGGCACCCCTGAAAAACATGGCATCCAAGGACAACAGCCTCCTAGTGTGGAATTCAGAACAACAGCCCCCCCCCCCCCCCATGACCAAGTTGAGCACAGCGTCCAGATGTCGGAAATGGGGGGAAAAGAGGGAAGTTTTGCCTCTTACTGTCTATCTTTGTTATTAATTGTGTAACGGCATTGAATGTTTGCCATGTATGTTTCTGTAATCTGCTCTGAGTCCTCCTGGGGAGATAGAGCGGAATATAAAGTATATTATTATCACAAAAATAATGGTCAACAGATTGTCTTTCCTTAATTAGAAACTGATCCATTTTAGTGATAATGACTGCAACTCAATCAACAAAATATAAAAGTTATAAGTACCTACATTTGAACAACAGCAACGCTGCACTTCTGTAGGGATTAAACCTCTCAGGAGGTTTCAAAAGGGAGGCTGGGTGGCCATCTGTTGGGAGGGCTTTGACTGTGCCTCCCTGCCTGGCTGAAGGAGGTGGAATAGAGGGAACCTCTTCCAGTGGAGTCTCCTTCTCTGGAGGCTTTTGAACTGAGGCTGGATAGCTATCTGTTGCGAGGGCTTTGACTGTGTCTCCCTGCCTGGTTGAAGGGGGTGGACTAGATGCCCTTTGGGGACCTCTTCCAGTGGAGCCCCCCTTCTCTGGAGGCTTTTGAACTGAGGCTGGATGCAGGCCCGTAGCCAGGATTTCGATTCGGGGGGGGGGGGGCTGAGTTTGTTTCGGGGGGGGGCTGAGTCTGAGTGAAAGAGGGTCTACCCTAGCAAACCTTTTGTATCGTTACCCCAATACCCCCATGCATATGGGATATATTGAGCATGGTGATCAGATCATGATATGAATAAACATAACAGTTTAAATAATGTACCAGTAAGGCCTTTTTCCAGACCACCATGTTGCGCCGCCCCCCCCCCCGGCTACATGCCTGGCTGGATGGCTATCTGTTGGAAGGGCTTTGATTGTGTCTCCCTGCCTGGCTGAAGGAGGTGGAATAGAGGGAACCTCTTCCAGTGGAGTCTCCTTCTCTGGAGGCTTTTGAACTGAGGCTGGGTGACTATCCATTGGGGGGGGGGGGCTTTGACTATGTTATCCTGCCTGATTGAGGAGGGCAGACTAGATGCCCTCTGGGGGTCCCTTCTTCCCTCTCCTTGGCTCTGCCTTTGCTTGTAGAGGGAGCATTTTTCAGGTGACACACCTGTGGACTACAGGTGGCACACTAGTCTGTCCCGACTTTCCCAGTTTGGAAAGCTCTGATTGAGAGCACAGCAACGGCAGAAGGAAGCAGCAACAGATGTGACTTACAAAGCATCTCAAGGCACCCTCCAAGAGCCTGGTCCTCTGAGCTGATCCATTGGCCAAAAGGTTGAGGTCTCCTTGGGAAGCCAAAGAGTAAAACCCTTCGCAGTTTGTGCTGTCAACTTGGTCAAGGCTGAAAGACAAGAGAACCTTCGTCATTGATAAACAGCAAGGATTAGTGATAATACATCAGCTGGGAATTATTATTGCTAACAGCTATAATGCTGATACCGGATCTGAGTTTCCTGCAGAAGACTCTTTTTTTCCAGCTGATGTATTTTCCTCTCTCTTGGGTATCAAGCTAGGTAACTATCCATAGTATACTCTCAACTAATTGCCCAAAATGTGAAGAAATAATACTTTAAGTTTAGTTTGTCTTCATTTGCTTTGAATGCCTGTATTTCAAAATTAATATCTAGTCAAATCAGAGTGCATTTAATGATATAGTATATAATAGTACCCCTCAAGCAACCAGAAAGTACATTCCCCATGAGTGCCAGTTAACTACTGCATTTGCATCCTTATTTTTGTCTCTCCGTCACTAGATTTCATACTAAGGACGATCCTTAAATTAAAAGTGTACTAAAGGTGCATCTGCACTGTGGATTTAATGCAGTTTTGACACCACTTGTACTGCAAGGGCTCGATGCTATGGAAGGCTCCAACTACAACTTCCGGCATTCCGCAGTCATTGAAAATGGTGCCAAACTGCATTATTTCCGCAGTGCGGATGCACCTTTATGTAAGTGGGGAGGACAATAGCTCTCAGGTATACAAGAGCTGGATCCTTCTTCCATCCTGATCTGTTGTTTGTTGTTCTTTCCAAAAGGAAAACGTAGTGCAACTCACGGGAAGAAAAGCAGCACATCTGGAGGGTAATCGGTGAAGTTGGCATTCAGGTTGTTCTTTGCCAGAAGCCGGGCCACGCAGGAGAGCTATTGCAGGGAGAAGAGCAAATGCATATGAGAACAAGGCTATAGCTTTGTCCACTATATATGGCCACTTGGTGAGTTTTTCTTTCCCAGCAAAGATTATTTTAGATCTTTCCAAACTTTCTCAGCTATGAAGGACACAATCTGATCCCTCTGAACAGATGACCATCCAGCCTCGGTTCAAAAACCTCCATAGAAAGAGAGACCCCCAAAGGGCATCTAATCCACCCTTTTCATCTATGAAGGAGGACACAATCTGATTCCTCCTGACAGATAGCCATCCAGCCTTAATTCAATAACTTCCAGAGAAGGAGACCCCACTGAAAGAGACCCCCAAAGGGCATCTAGTCCAATCTCTTTTGCAATTAAGGAAGACCCAGTCAAAGCCCTCCTGACAGATGGCCATCCAGCCTTAGTTCAAAAACCCTCACTGAAAGATACTAATTCCCTACTGGAAGAGACCCTTAGAGGGCATCTAATCCAACCCCCTTCAGCCATGAGGGAGAACACAATCTGCTTCCTCTCAACAGAGAGCAAGCCAGCCTTAATTCAATAACTATGAGAGAAGGAGACCCCATTGAAAGAACCCCCCACCAAAGGCATCTAGTCCAACCCCTCTAGCAATTAAGTTAGACACAGTCAAATTCCTCCTGACAGATGGCCATCCAGCCTTAATTCAAACCCCCTCATTGAAAGATATGATTTCCCACTGGAGGAGACCCTCTTCCACCCTCTTCAGCCATGTCCACCCTCTTCAGCCATGAAGGAGAACACAATCTGCTTCTTCCCAACAGACAACAATCCAGCCATAGTTCAATAACTTGGAGAGAAGACTCCATTGAAAGAGACCCCCAAAGGGCATCTAGTCAAACACCTTTAGCAATTAAGGTAGACACAGTCAAATTCCTCCTGACAGATGGCCATCCAGCCTTAGTTCAAAACCCCTCATTGAAAGATACTAATTCCCCACTGGAAGAGACCCCCAGAGGGAATCTAGTCCAACTCCCTTCAGCGATGTTAAGGAAGCAGTCTGCAAACACTTAGAAACAAATGCAGTCATCGCTAATAGTCAACATGGATTTATCAAAAACAAGTCATGCCAGACTAATCTGATCTCTTTCTTCGATAGAGCTACAAGCTGGGTAGATGCGGGGAATGCCGTGGATGTAGCGTACCTGGATTTCAGTAAGGCCTTCGACAAGGTCCCCCATGACCTTCTGGCAAGGAAACTAGTCCAATGTGGGCTAGGCAAAACTACGGTGAGGTGGATCTGTAATTGGTTAAGTGGACGAACACAGAGAGTGCTCACTAATGCTTCCTCTTCATCTTGGAAAGAAGTGACAAGTGGAGTGCCACAGGGTTCCGTCCTGGGCCCGGTCCTGTTCAACATCTTTATTAATGACTTAGATGAAGGGCTAGAAGGCATGATCATCAAGTTTGCGGATGACACCAAATTGGGAGGGTTAGCCAATAGTCCAGAGGACAGGAGCAGAATTCAAAACGATCTTGACAGATTAGAGAGATTGGCCAAAACTAACAAAATGAAGTTCAACAGTGACAAATGTAAGATACTCCACTTTGGCAGAAAAAATGAAATGCAAAGATACAGAATGGGTGACGCCCGGCTCGAGAGCAGTACGTGTGAAAAAGATCTTGGAGTCCTCGTGGACAACAAGTTAAACATGAGCCAACAATGTGATGTGGCGGCAAAAAAAGCCAATGGGATTTTGGCCTGCATCAATAGGAGCATAGTGTCTAGATCTAAGGAAGTAATGCTACCCCTCTATTCTGCTTTGGTTAGACCACATCTGGAATATTGTGTTCAATTCTGGGCACCACAATTCAAGAGAGATATTGACAAGCTGGAATGTGTCCAGAGGAGGGTGACTAAAATGATCAAGGGTCTGGAGAACAAGCCCTATGAGGAGCGGCTTAAGGAGCTGGGCATGTTTAGCCTGAAGAAGAGACGGCTGAGAGGAGATAGGATAGCCATGTATAAATATGTGAGAGGAAGCCACAGGGAGGAGGGAGCAAGCTTGTTTTCTGCTTCCTGGAGACTAGGACACGGAACAATGGCTTCAAACTACAAGAGAGGAGATTCCATCTGAACATGAGGAAGAACTTCCTGACTGTGAGAGCCATTCAGCAGTAGAACTCTCTGCCCCGGAGTGTGGTGGAGGCTCCTTCTTTGGAAGCTTTTAAACAGAGGCTGGATGGCCATCTGTCAGGGGTGATTTGAATGCAATATTCCTGCTTCTTGGCAGGGGGTTGGACTGGATGGCCCATGAGGTCTCTTCCAACTCTTTGATTCTATGATTCTATGATTCTATGACACAATCAGATTCGCCCTGAAAGAGAGCCACCCACCCTCTGTTTATTAAACCTCCAAAACTACAGTAAAGATTGCTATTGTCTCTGCAGCAATAACAAGAGTATCCCTGTGGGCAACTAAACCAGGAAATCCTATTTGGATTGTCCCCCATGAGGGTCTGACTCCAGAGGCAAACCAAGAATGGGCAACTTGGTAGTCCCTGAACAGACTCAAAAGTGGAGTTGGCAGATCAAAAGACAACCCGGCAAAATGGCATTGTCTAAAAGAATTCTCCACCCTGTGTGACTGTGGAGCAGAACAAACAACTCTGCATCTGTATGCTTGCCCACAATGCCCTGCCTCATACACAGAGGAAGAACTGTTTAAAATACCGACAATGTGGTCGTTGTTGCTCCGTTTCAGTCTAAAATTATTTAGCCGCTTGTGCTCACTCTATTTTATCAGTTTTATACTAATTTATTAATGCAATGCTTTTGACACGAAATAAATAAAACCTGAAAACACGTGGGTCTTAAAGGGACAAGACCAAACCACCTGCTCTATATGGCTTTCCGAAAACAATGTCTCACCTGTCCATTACTTAGATTGGCGTTTTTAATTTTCACTTCTTGAACCAGTGACGAAAATTGCTCGGCTGACAATTTGCCAGCCGCGTTGCATTGGAAGCCTTGGAGGATGAAAGCCGAAATCCTAGGAAAAAAGCCGGGTAATATTTCGTATCTAGAAGGAGGATGGACTCATGGCTTAATTCAGCATTGCCATTAGCCCAACTCAATACTTGCAAAAGGAGTGGCATTAATAATAATAATAATAATAATAATAATAATAATAATAATAATAATAATAAGGTTGTTGTAGGTTTTTTCGAGCTATACGGCCATGTTCTAGAGGCATTCTCTCCTGACGTTTCGCCTGCATCTATGGTAAGCATCCTCAGAGGTAGTGAGGTCTGTTGGAACTAGGAAAAAGGGTTTATATATCTGTGGAATGACCAGGATGGGACAAAGGATTCTTGCATGTAGTGAACCCAATATGGCTTTGTAACTGTGCAGCAAGAAATTTTGCTAAGTCGTACGTGGGGGATCCAATGGCACTCATGATGGGTCTGAGTGGAGTGGATTCTAATCACCTCTCAACAAAAGTTTGCTCCAGGCACTGTCAGGTCATTATATGCTAATCAAGGTGGTCAGTTGAAACATTCACACCTAGCTCCAGCAGACAAGAGTCCTTTGTCCCACCCTGGTCATTCCACAGATATATAAACCCCTTTTCCTAGTTCCAACAGACCTCACAGCCTCTGAGGATGCTTGCCATAGATGCAGGCGAAACGTCAGGAGAGAATGCCTCTAGAACATGGCAGTGTAGCCCGAAAAAACCTACAACAACCCACTGATTCCGGCCATGAAAGGCTTCAACAATACAACAACAACAATAGCATTGTCTCATATTAATTGTTAGTTGCCCTGAGTCCTGACATTGGGAGAAAAGGCAGGATGAAAATAAAACAAAACGAATAAACAAAATGAAATGAAATAAAATAACACTAATAAATAAATGCAATGAATTAATAAATACAGAATAAATAAAAATGAATTAAATAAAATGAATGAATAAAGAAATGGAATGAATACAATGAATAAAATAAAGAAAACAAATAAATCATATAAAATGTGTAAAATAAACCAACAAATAATACAAATAATGCCAAACTCACTCGGTGTAATTGTCCGTCCTGGAAAGCACATTTTCAAAAAGGAGCGCTGCCTAGGAATTAAAGAGAAGGGGGGAAAAGACTTTGAAGATGTCGAGCAGGAACAAAATTAAAGCTATGTTTAGGCTGTTTGGGGCAGGAATATATCTCTTAGGGTGCATCTATACAGCAGAATGAATGCAGTTTGGTACCACTTTGACCACAAGGCTTAAAGGCTATAGAGTCTTAGGAGCTGTAATTCTGCAAGGTCTTGAGCCCTCTCTGCCAAAGAAGGCTTGGCGTCTTGTCAAATTACAACTCATCATGTTGAATTGAGTGAAGTGGGATGGAACTGTGTTTAAGTCTACAGTAGAGATGCACCCTTAGCTAGACCCGAGAAGGCGAAGTTGTTACCTGCTGGGAAGACCACTGCTTTTTGTTGATTTCACGCAGGTCTGGGTTCTCCCCCTGAGACAGCAGCAGCGAGATCGGGACTTGGTCCACCAGCTCATTCGGGATGTTGTTCAGGATGTCATTGAAGGAGGAGGAGTTGGATAAGATCTGCGAGGAAGCCATAAAGGGACCAATCAGAGACCCCGAATATTGTTCCTCAAAGGCAGGGGTCCCCACACTACAGCCCATAGGCCGGATCTGGTCCACCAAGGTCACTTCCACAGCCCACACCGGAAGAGTTGCTACCACCAAGACCCTTTCCTTTCCTCTCTCTATCTCCCTCCAAAATGCAAGGGATCCTCTCCAACTTCTTCTTGCTTCTTAAATCACCTTTCCTTTATTTTCCTCTCTCTATTTATCCCCAGAATGGGGGGAAGGGAGAAAGAAAGAAAAAGTAAGAAAGAAAAGGAGGTAGGAAAAACATAGGGAAGGAGAAAAGGAAGAAAGAAAGGCAGGTAGGGAAGAGAAGAAAAGAAGGAAGAGAAGAAAGGGAGGAAGGAAGGAAGGAAGGAAGGAAGGAAGGAAGGAAGGAAGGAAGGAAGGAAGGAAGGAAGGAATAAAAAAGAAAGGAAACAGAGAGGGAAAGAAGAGAACAAAGCAAGATAGGAAAGCAATAAACAAAGAAGGAAGGAAGAGAAGAAAGGGGGATAGGGAAGAAGGAAGGAAGGGAGGGAGAGAGGGAGGGAGASAGGGAGGGAGGGAAGGGAAGGAAGCAACCATAGATGGAAGGAAGAGAAGAAAGGGAGGAAGGACAGATGGAAGGAAAGATGGAAGAGAAAAAAGAGAGAAAGAAAAGGAGATAGGAAAAGAGYGGAAGGAGAAGAAAAGGAGGAAGGAAGGAAGGAAGGAAGGAAGGAAGGAAGGAAGGAAGGAAYGAYYGAYAGAGAGAGAGAGAAGGAACAGAAGGAAGGAASGAAGGAAGGAAGGAAGGAAGGAAGGAAGGAAGGAAGGAAGGAAGGAAGGAAGGAAGGAAGGATGGTAGGAAACAGAGAGGGAAAGACTTCATAAAGCGTGACATAGTTTGAACCTGGGACTCTGTCTCTGAACCTACTGAGTGCCTGTAGGCAAGTCCCTCTTTTAGCCTTAGAGAAAGACATCTTGATAAGAACACTCTGTGAGAGGTTTGCCTTTGGGTCACCCTGACTTTGAAATTATTTGAAAGCACACAACAACTATGGTTATTGTATTGTTGTATTGAGTTTTGGGGCCCCGGCCTATGTAAGCCGCATCGAATCCCTTGGGGAGATGCTAGCGGGGTACAAATAAAGTTATAATAATAATAATAACAGCAGCAGCAGCACTATAGTCCACCCCAACTGTCTGAGGGTCCCTGAACTGGATCTCTGCTTAAAAAGTTTGAGGACTCCTGCTGTAAGGTGCCAAATCTTATCTGCTTTTGGATGCTAAGCAGGGTCAGCCCTGGACAGGATTTGGAGGGGAGACCACCAACAAATCCCAGGTGTTATCGGCAATATAGTAGAGGAAGGAATTTCACCACAGTCTTGAGATTTGCCCTAGGTGCTCCTCCTAAACCCAGGTATTTTACCTTGCTCACAAAGGCTTTCTCCAGGTGCTCCGGGCCTCGTCTGAGCGTGCTCACAAAGTGGGCGTCTTTGGCCAGCTCAATGGCCGATCCAGCTGAAATGCGGTCAAAGCTTGTGCTGGGCAAACCCTGTGCCAAGGTGCCCAGGCTCTGGAACTTCTCTGCTGTATCCAGCTGCAAAAATGCAGAAAAATAAGTCTTGCAGCATCATGCAGCATCACTTGCCATGGCTCAATGCAACGGGATTGCAAGAAAGACCAAACTACCTCTTCCATGATTCCATAGCATTGAGCCATGGCAGTCCAAATAGGACCAAACTGCATTAAGTTCTACAGTGTGGATGCACCTGGCTGGCTATTGTTGGAACGGAGATGTTGGTCCAAAGCTGAGCTTTGTCCTTCTGAGATGTTTATATTTGTTTGCAAATGTTGCAGCAAGTTTTTGGATTTAAAAAAACCCTCCAAATATAGGAAATCGATCAGTCTTTAATTTGGCAGAATGGGGAGAGAAGAAAACCTCATGGAATATAAGTTTCCTTAGGAGCTTTTTTATAACCTTCTGTGTTTACATAAAAACGCTGTTAATTGGCTATGGAACAACAGCATTGCATCATTATAGAACAACCCCTACTATACTTATTCATCTGGGAAAAACCTAGATAACACAAAATTAATGTAAAATTATTTGCAAATATTTATATATAACAAAGCCAATTTTTATTTTATTTTATTTTATTCCAACTGCTTTTCTACCTGGCACAAGAAGGAATGACTTACCCAAAGTTCTTTGCTCGTATATCTCTGTGCTTAACAGCCTTGACAGTTGATGAAAATAGTTTTAATTCTCTCTATACCTTTTTAATGGCCTCTTTCTGGGGGGTTTCCCCCTCCAAATGGGGCCCCATGAGGTCATCTAGTCTTGCCCTCTTTGTATCAAACATTGTGGAGACTTACTGTGAAGCCATTGCGGAGGATCCTGCTGACCAGCGCCTGGGACTGGCCCCTGTTCCAACCCTTGACCTGTCCCAGAGATGCCAAGACCTTGGGGTCCTTTAGGATGTCTGCGGTGAGGTTGGAGATCTGGCCGGTGGTCAGTCCCACAGCCTGCTGCCCCAAAGCCACCAGGGTCTGGCTGTCAAAGGCCTTGATCTGGGTCACAAGCATCGTAGCAAGCTGTGGAAGGGAGAGGAAGGGAAAGATGTGAAATAAGAAGGAATGGCACAGGTAGGATGCAAAGATACATTTGGGACATCATCACACGCAGTATACTCCACGTTTCTGCACTTCAGAAATGGCTACTGATGGAGCTCATCACACGACATATGCCCATTCAATGGGTTTCTAGTCATTTGTTTAGTTTCCAAATGGGCCGTGGCTAATCTAAAGGACAAAACTATGGTCCTCAGCACTTTACTAATTGCATGGGATAAAGTCCTTGGAGAGACGTTCATTAAAACAGAGTTTTCCAAAACGTGTGTTAGGCTACATGACTGTGTTGCTTGTTGTCCACAGGAGCATTGCATGAAAAAGGCTCCTCCCTTCCATGCAGGAAGACACAGTCAAAGCCCTCCCAGCAGACAGCCATCCAGCCTCAGTTCAAAAACTTCCAGAGAAGGAGACTCCACTGAAAGAGACCTCCAAAGGACATCTGTTCCACCCCCTTCAGCCAGGCAGGAAGTCACAGTCAAAGCTCTCATGACAGATTGCCATCCAGCCTTAATTCAATAACTTCCAGAGAAGAAGATTCCAGTGGAAGGGACCCCCAAAAGGCATCTAGTCCACCCACTTCAGCTAGTCAGGAAGGCACAGTCAAAGCTCTGATGACAGATTGCCTTCCAGCCTTGGTTCAATAACTTCCAGAGAAGAAAACTCCACTAGAAGAAACCTCAAAGGGCATCTATGCTATTTATGCTATTAAGTACACAATCAAAGCTCTTCCAACAGATGGCCATCCAGCCTCTGTTTAAAAACCTCCAGAGAGGTTTAATCCCTACAGAAGTGGAGTGCAGGTACTGTTCAAGCATATATACTATTAGAAAGTTTATAATTCTCATGATTTATTGATTGAGTTGCAGTTATGACCACCAAAATGGATAAATTTCTAATTAAGTAAAGAAAATCCGTTGACAACGATGTTTGTGATGAGCCCCATGAAATGACTCTAGAGGAAACGATGCAAGAACTAACTGTAAGACATAAGAAACATAAAGGGAAAATGTCCAAACCTCATTTAAACAGTAAATATTATATGAAACTATGTATAGTATGTATATTATATGTTATATATATTGTATAAAACTCTTATGAGGGGTTGGCTTAACCTCTGGTTTGCTAGTAAAACTGAATGACTGTCGCGAAAGGATGCAGGTCTCAAAAGCGTGGCAGCAACATGAAAAGTTTGGAAAGCTCTGCATTAGAGCGTTGTTTGCATTGGGTAGTAAATGAAGACCTATTTTCTGGAGTCAGTTGAGGACACCCCAAAGTGGAGTGGGGGAAAAGAATAAAAATAAATGCTAGTGCAATAGAGTCACTTTGGGCAAACCCTCTGCAAATCCTCTAGAGCTCACCTTATGATCAAATGGATTCACCCTTCCATGGATATGGCAATTTCCAACTACCTATTGACTTCTACTAACTCTTCCAAACCCTAGAATATCCAGAAGGTGCGCTATATGTCTTTCCATCTCAAGTGCTTGTTATGCCGCCACAAAACTCACCTGACGGTCAGCGGAAGATGGTTGGGAAGAGTTGCAATGGAGATTGACCCGAGCGATGAGGTCCAAGGCCTCCTCGGGGCTGAGACTGGAGATCATGGTGGACCGCCGCGCAAAGCAGAGGAGCTGGTTTGGAAGGCTGGGAAGGAAGTCAACATTGGGGTAGACTGTACTGTTTTATCCCCCTTTATCCTTCCCTTTTTGTGGTATGCTTTTTGATATTCAGATCGGTACATACAGAACAGGTCCACCTTTATCCACGGATTCGATATCCACGATGGCACTTACCCGGCATACCTCTACACCAGGTTTGGACAAACTTTGGCCCTCCAGGTGTTTTGGACTTCACCTGGAGGGCCGAAGTTGGCCCATGCCTACTCTCACTGCAGAATGAATGTATGATACCACTTTTACTGCCATGGCTCCATGTGATGGAAAAATTGGAGCTGGAGGACCAGGGTTCAAATCATCCATCAATCAGAAAAATTGCCTACAGCCTTTCTTGAAGGTTTGCTGTAAGGATACAGTAGATGGAGAAAATTATATGTATATGTATATATCTCCTTGGGAGGAAAGAGAAATATATCCTTTCTCTGTCTTCACTGGGTAGCGAACAGTGTGCTTCATCTCTACAAAATGTATGACTCCCCTTCTTCTAAATATTCACAGGGGATGGGAGTGAAACTGTAGCATTATGTAGTAATTACTGTAAACTGTTTTCCCCTTCATTCTTTCCTTAGTATAAGGATTTTCCACTCACCTGTTGAGATTGAAATCCGACGCAACTGTCAGAATTGCATCGGCATACATCTCCGCCAAATCGTCGCGAATTGGATAGCGATAGATGAGCTCCAGGTTGTCTCGGTTAAATGCAAGACCTTGGAACTAAGGAAAGACAAAAAAAAAGGTTTTCCAATATCTGTCCTCAAAAATGTGGGGCAAAAGGGTTTTTCAGAACAGTCTCCATTGTTTGCATGATACAAATTTGGCTGCTATTGCAATTTTAACTTCTATAGCTGCCTTGTATCCTGGAGGAGGAGGAGGAGGAGGAGGAGGAGGATGATGATGATGATGATAATAATAATAATAATAATAATAATGGCTAGAATTTCATGTGGGAGTTCTGTCTTCATAAATGGGCAAAATTGGTCAGTTTCATAATCTTCATATCTGGCAGACATACTGCACAGCAGAACCATAATAATAATAATAATAATAATAATAATAATAATAATAATAATATCATCAAGTCGGCAAAAGTGGAGGATCGTATGTGTACTATTTGAAGACCTACAAAATATAAATATTAAAATAGAATTAAATGCTACAGCTATTAAAACAATTCAGTTAAAATCTGGTACAGATGTACATTGGATACTCTTGTGGCCTATTTCTTAGTATCCCATTGGGAACAATTCCAATGGGGACTTTCATTGGGTACTATTAGCCCCAATTATTATTATTATTATTATTATTATCATTATTGTTGTTATACATATGATTATTACTACAGTAGAGTTTTGCTTTTCCAACATAAACGGGCCGGCAGAACATTGGATAAGAAAAAAATGTTGGATAATACGGAGGGATTAAGGAAAAGCCTATTAAACATCAAATTATGTTATGAGTATGTTAGGATTTTACTAATTAAGCACCAAAACATCATGTTTTACAACAAATTGACAGAAAAAGCAGTTCAATACACTGTAGCATTATGTAGTAATTACTGTATTTACGAATTTAACAGCAAAACAGGCAAGGGTTCTTCCTTTCTCCTACACTCGACCGTTGGATAATACAGAATGTTGGATGAACAAAGGTTGGATAAGTGAGACTGTACTGTATTTATATCTCACAGTTGCTAACACTAAAATCCATACAATATGTTAATTTAAACCCAGAGCATACAAACATTAAAATATAGTTAAAAACAGGTTTTGTTTAAAATGCATAGTTAAAACCAACACAACTAATTAACTAGTTCAGATCTACTGAGAGATTGGCCAGAAATAGAGATGATCTGTGAAAGGAGCATTTTAAAGCTTGGCAGTGTGCTACCTAATTGCTGGTGGCAACGTTTGAATCCACCCCTTGGATCCTCTGCTTTGGAGAGCTGTGGACACTGTTTGGAGTTTTGGACAAATTTATTGGTTGTATGTTTTGTGATTGAATCGAATCAGGACTGGATTTGGTCTACTCTTCTGCTTGTTCCTTGAAAGCTTGTTACTGAGAACTGGATGACTCGGACTGGATGACTACACTGCTGGAGATACCAGGGCCAGACATTTGAGAGGGAGATTGCATTGAGAATACTGTACATCTGTCGAGAGATACGTACGATGCTTGTGCTGTGGTTCGTGAGCAGCCGCATGTCCCTTGCACTGCTAAAGCGGATGTAACTTCTAAAATACATGACCAGCCAGTTGGACATCCCTCGGTCGCTGATGTTGTAGCAGCGAGGTTTGTCATCTGTGGCTGCAACAGAAACAAATGGGGGTTCTGTTGATGGAGGTGAAATCTCAAGCATCTCTCGTGTGGCGGAGAAATTCAATAAAGAGCTTCTCTTTCTCTCTTTTGCTTTTGCAACTTCCACCTGAAAGCTCACCTGTCAGGTAAGCCTTGATGGAGAAGTAGATCTCCTCCTCCCAGCCTTCAAATAGGGCAATGTTTTCGTTCAGTTTGTTCACGCTGGAAACAGAAACAATGGGATCAGAGGAAGAATTCATGCATGCTCTGCTGAGGATATTGACCTAAAATAGGACTTTGAGTTGGGGATAAAGGGGTCAGAGAATTGGGGACAACTCTTAACATAAATAGATATGATAGATACAAGAGAGAGAGAGAGAGAGAGAGAGAGAGGTCAGGGATGAATATAAATAGATATGACAGATACTATAGATATGATGGATAGAGATCAGTGACAGACAGAAATAGATAATTATAAATATGATACATAGATAGATTTGAGATGGTCATAAATAGATATGATAGATTAAATAGATAGGGATGGGCATAAATAGATAGGATTAAGAGGTACGATAGATATGATAGAGGCAATAGATAGATAGATAGATAGATAGATAGATAGATAGATGATAGATAGAGATCTGAGATGGGGATACATAGATAGATAGATAGATAGATAGATAGATAGATAGATAGATAGATAGGATAGAATAGATTGAGATCAGGGATGACAATAGATAGATAGATAGAATAGACAGCAATCAGAGATGGCAATAGATAGATAGATAGATAGATAGATAGATAGATAGATAGATTAGATAGAATAAATTGATAGAATAGATAGAGATCAAGCATGAGAACAGATATAGATAGCTACATTCATAGATAAGTTAGATAGAAATCAGAAACCATCCATCTCCCCCATCTCTGATAGAAATCAGAGATGGGGGAGATGGATGGATGGATGGATGGATGGATAGATAGATAGATAGATAGATAGATAGATAGATAGATGGATAGATGGAAAGTTGGACATAGATAAATAGATACAATAGATGGAGATCAGGGATGAGTATAGATAGGATAGATAGATAGATAGTTGGACATAAATAGATACAATAGATGGAGATCAGGGATGGGCATAGATAGGATATAGACAGACAGACAGACAGACAGACAGACAGATGCCCTGCTCTCCCTATGATGGTAGCCTGTCATCTTCCAATTGTGTATGGATCATGCTTACATTTTATTATAGGTCTCGCAGCTGGCATTCAGGGTTTCGCTCGCGTTGAGCACATCTCCACTGAGGAACATGAAATAACTGTCCAGTCGGCCCTCGAGCCACCGTTCCACTTCAGTCTCATTGTCATTGGACACCAGAGAGGGCCAAACGCCCACCAAGAGGGCCGCCTTGGTGCCATCTGAAAGCAGGTCCTGCTGAAGGGAGGCCAAAGAGAGGTCAGACAGAGGGATGGGACACATGGCAGCTCCTCATTCCCACTTTGTTGGGGCCAATTCCCACATCGGTTTTCTCCTTTATTCCTTACCGTAACATTTTTCTTGTTAAAGTGGTCGATAAACAAGCCGCTCCTTTCATAGTGTTGTAACCAAACGGTCAATAACGGGTCATCATTCAGGAATCCATTTTGAGCAAATAAGTTGGATGCCACATCCGGAGGGATTGTGTTCACAATCTGGAAAAATAAGTGAGCATTAAAATGCTGGAGATTAAGATATTAAAATATATCCCCCATATCCATGGGATCGGTATCCACAGTTTCATTTATCTACACTTGACAAAAAATGTCCTCTCTAGGCATTTTCAAGGCCCTCCAGAATGTCACTATAAAAATATGTATGGATATATGGCATATTATTGGTTTTGCAAAACTATCTCCATTGGTAAATTCAGCACAAGACTCCCCATTATGTTGTCGGTTACCTAGAATGGAAACATTGGATGATATTAATGTTACCTTCTGCAGGTCAGATGCAGGGATTAAAGTGCCCAGGTCTCTCAAAGTCAGAAAGTTTGCAAACCCCTGAAACATCTCTTCTAAGAAGATGGAAAAGCTGGCATTTGCAGCATAGCATCTGAGTGAAGAGTCTAAATAATTTGAAGAGAAGAAAGAATCAGATGGATGGATGGAAAAAAGAAAAGGAGGAGTAAACAATTAGATTAGTCCAAATGTCTGGATTTCAGGTTTGGAAAACCATCCAGTGTTTCGGGATCTCAAACATTTGGTTATTAGACCCTCCTTAATAACATCCCATTCTCAAAATGTAATCAATATACATCCATCAGGATGCTCTCTTATTCCTTTATGGAAACCTCTGTTGGAAAACGGAGGGATAGTTGCGTGATTTATAGTTTTCTCCTGCATCAATCACACCCTCCCTATGCTGTGCACTGGGCTGATTGTCTCAGAGCCAAGATATTAAAATCAACCCAAACATTGCAGAGTCCTTATCAGTTGACAGCAGAGTTTTATTGCACAGCCTGATCTTGTGCCACTCACTGTTTTAAGAAAACTCTTTGACTCTGGTTTTCATCCAAAACTCACAGTGGAGGCTTTTATCTTGACATGTCGCTTTATGTACAGTTATATACACACACATCAAGATCCTCGATCTCCTATCAGTGTATACAGAGATATACTCAAGACAAATACAGATATCAGCAACATATGTACAGCGAGAAGCGAGAGAATCATGCTGAGAGAGAGAGAGTACATGCTTCCTGTCCACTTTTATACCAGTTGCTTCTGATCATCAAACGGGAATGACAGTGAATGATGCCACACTTGTCATGCCTGTCACATGGTCATGACTCAGCATCTTTGCCTGTCTCTCATGTTACACATCATCACCCACTTAACCCTTCAGTAGGAATGTGACCACATGTCCATTAGAACTGTATTTTCCAACCAGTTTTGCACAATGGGGTTACAATCAATGCATTCCTATCTAATAGTCTCAGTCTTTCCAATGATGCCATTTAAAGTACTATAATAATAATAATAATAATAATAATAATAATAATAATAACACTTTATTTATACCCCGCTACCATCTCCCCAAGAAACTCGGTGTGGCTTACATGAGGCCGAGCCCAAAATATAATAATACAAGTAATAACAATAACAATGCAAGCAATTTAAAAACAACAAAACAATAAAGCAATAACACAAGCATTATCAATAGGACAACACAGTTTAAAATCTATGGGTAGGCCAATTGTAATTAAAATTAAAAGATTAAAAAATAATGCTGGACATGGGCGAAAAAGTGATGGGGCCATTTGTGGGAACATACGAGCAGACCTAAAACAATATAAAGTGCTTTGGAGGACAAAGTGCTATGCAGCGGATAATTGCTTACTTGAGTTGAAAGTCAAGATCGCTTTGTAAATGCTTTGCCTGGTGACATTGCTGATATCCTCAATGGAAGCGTTAAGCAAAGTGACCCTAAAAGAAAGCAAAAGCATTAAGTGTTCCAAATTCACCTGGCCCCTACGAAAGTGGAGTATTTGTGACTAATGGAAAATAAATAGTTGGGAGATCACCTCTTTAGGAATCTCTAGGTCCTCTAACATAACCTTATGGTCAATGTCCATAAGGTTGCCCATCGAATCGAATGAGAGAACCTACAAGTCCCTCTGAAAGGGTTCTCTTGGAGAATTGACCTGGGGTCATTTCATATGAACCATTTTTCAACCTTGTGCACACGCGTTTGGGTACATCCAAATGGGGATGAGCACCACTCCCCAGAGTCGGACACAACTAGACATAATGTCAACGGGAAACCTTTACCTTTACCATGGGTACATCCTTTGAAAAATTATAATGGGCGAAATAACTCTTACATGGCATTAACAACGGGACAGTTTCTGTCCTCCAAATGGTCAAACAAGAGCCGGACGTCCGAAGCGTTCAGTCCTGGCATCAAACCCGGGAGGCGTTGCTCCACCCAGATGAGGAATTCAGCATCATCTGCTTCCTGGAATATCGGCTGTGCTAAAGTCAGAACCCGGCTCAGGAGGCTGGCTTGGATCTCGTTGGCCAGGCTCAGGTTGCTCTAGAAACCAAGAAACGAAATGAGGGATTAATAAACTAACTGCTACATCTTATACTTAATGCAGTTTGACATAGTTTTAACTTCCATTGAATTGTGGGAGTTGTAGTTTTTGCAAGGACTTTCACCTTCTTAGCCATACAATGCTGCAGAAGCTACAACTCCCAGGACTCCATAGCATTGTGTCGGGACAGTTTAAAGTGATATCTAAATGCATTCACTTTACAGTGTAGACTCACCCTTAGTAAAAGTACAAATCCCAGGGTCTATAACATGGCGCCAGAGAAGGTTAAATGGTGCAGAACAGCATTCATTCTATGAAAGAGGGTGCACCCAACATCATGCTTTCAGTTGGCCTCTTTGCAAACACTGATATTCCAGACGAACTGAGCCATGTCTTTGAACTGAGATGTTATCACAAACAGTCTTTCCAAAGAACAACAGGCTTCCTGATATACCTGTCTGTTGAATTCATCCATGAACTCTGTCAATGTGGAGGTTTCTATGAGGCTCATCACGGTTTCCGCATCTCTCCGAGTCCTCAAGGTGCCTGCGGAGGCCGACAGTTGTGCAAGTTGCTTCACGGTGAGGTTCCCAAGGACATCCCACTGGAGACAAGAAGGCAAGGATCAGTGCAAGTCTCGGGATGCTCTGAACTTGCAGCCAAGGTGACACTCAGCCTCAGAGGAAGGCAATAGCAGAGGATGCATTTCCATCTATCCCTGAGCAAACTATTTACCACATTGAATCTGGAGTTCAGGGAAAGGAAGTCTTGATATTTCGCAAAGCGGCTGAATCTTCCGAAATTGGCCGCCAGCCATGTGGCACTGTTGAGGTCTCCAGTACAAGCCGACCCTAAAATATAATAGCAATAATAATAATAATAATAATAATAATAATAATAATAATAAACGGTATTTTTGTTTATTTCCTGCCTCTCCTCACTGCTTGAATGAAGTGAAAGGATCAATGATGCTTTGGCATAGGCTGCAAAGAGCTGTCTATGGTGCTGAACTTTGGAAAATTATATTGAAAAATCCCTTCTCTGGAGGATGTCTGGGCATCTGTCTGGAGTGTTGGGGTTGTGTATTCCTGCATAGCAGAAGGGAGATGGACTAGATGGGCCTTGGGGTCCACACTCAGTTCTAAATCCCACAATGGATTCACTAGCTCCATGAGATCAGAAGTTTGGGTCCAACTTTTGAAAGCATTGAACCCATTTGGGGTTCATGGATAATCTGCCTTGTAATTTGGACTGAAACCCAGTTTGGATTCACTATTGACATGGAATCCACTGAAGTCAGGCTAGGATCTTGGACCCAGCTTGATGGACCAAAACAGAAGCTTCTGTTCTCTTCTCCATTATAATATATGAAAGGCATATACTATTTTGCCAAATTGCAGAGCCTTGCAAAATGTTTACTCCCGACTTTGCCATTTGCAAAGCAGAGCATTACAACAAAGGTGGAGGAAGTAACTTATTTGGGATAAGGCTAAGAGATTGCAAGTATTCCCCAAAAGTAACTATCGGATCCTTGATAGTTTGGAGACCTTACTTACCATTGGAATCTGATGCTTGCAAATAGGGAAGCTGGAAAGAATGGAAGACGTCCTCCTGAATGGAGCGGTTCATCTTCACAAACTCCGCGTCTAGACCTTTAACACTGTAGAAAAAGAAGAATTGGTTCTGTTTTTCTTTGGAAAAGCATCCTCTGAGATATGATCCTGGAGGAGAGTTCTACAGAGAGTGGCTTTTTAAAAAAGACCAATAAGTGTGTCCTAATGCAAAGTAAGTATGAAGCCAAGACAACGAGATTGATTCTGTAATATTTTGGAAACATTATGAAAAGTCTGGACTTGTTAGAAAACATATTAATGTGTGGTCAAAGGCTTTCATGGCCATGTTCCAGTAGCATTCTCTCCTGACGTTTCGCCTGTGGCATCTTCAGAGGTTCTATTGCTAGTGAAGGAATGGAATGTCTATATATCTGTGGAATAATGTCCAGGGTGGGAGAAAGACCCCTCGTCTGTTTAAAGCAAGTGTTCATGTTGCAATTAGCAAGTTTGAATAGCATTGAGTAGCCATGAAGTTTGCAAAGTCAATAAGTGAGGGTATCTGCATGAAGGTAACCTGGCCTTTGTTTCCTGGAGGCACCCTCTCCTTGGGAGGTGTTAACTGGCACTTCATTGTTTGCTGTCTGGAGTTCTCCATTATGTCACACTACAACCATTGCCACAACCATTATGCCAGAAGCCTTTGAAATCCATATTTTTTCGTGTCGGAAACAACTTGAGAAACTGCAAGTTACTTCTAGCGTGAGAGAATTGGCCGTCTGCAAGGACATTGCCCAGGGGATGCCCGGATAGTTTTGATGTTTTACCATCCTTGTGGGAGGCTTCTCTCATGTCTCCACATGGGGAGCCAGAGCTGACAGAGGGAGCTCATCCGTGCGCTCCCCATATTTAAACCTGCGACCTGTTGGTCTTCAGTCCTGCCGGCACAAGGGTTTAACCCGTTGCACCACCGTAATGGGTTAAAACCTTGTCCCCATGAAGCATGTAGACAATTTGAAAGAAAGGAGGATACAATGAAAATGAATAAAATCTGGTTACCAATATAAAAAAACCCAGCAGAATCAAGACAGTAAATAATGAACACCACTCTGAAATGGAGCCCCTGGTGGTGCAGTGGGTTAAACCCATGTGCCGGCAGGACTGAAGACCGAGAGGTCACAGGTTCGAATCTGGAGAGAGCGCGGATGAGCTCCCTCTATCAGCTCCAGCTCCTCATGTGGGGGCATGAGAGTAGCCTCCCATAAGGATGGTAAAACATCAAACCATCCTGGCGTCCTCTGGACAATGTCTTTGCAGACGGCCAATTCTCTCACACCAGAAGCAACTTGCAATTTCTCAAGTCACTCCTGACACGACAAACAAAACAAAACAAAACTCTGAAACAGGAGAAATCCAGATAGCAAACAATCAATTGCTAGTTAATACCTCCAAAACAGAGGATGCCTTCAGGCAACAACAGCCAGATACCTTCACTGATTGACTTTGCAAACTTCATGGTTACTCAAATGCTATTCAAGCTTGCTAATTGCAACATTCACACTTTTTAAAAAACAGACAAGGGTGCTTTCTCCCACCTTAGACATTATTCCACTGGTATATATACACCTCACTTGCTTCATTGCCAACAGGCTTCTGCACATGCCAACCACAGACACAGGTGAAACATCAGTAGAGAATGCTGCCGGAAGATGGCCATACAACCTGAAAAACTCACAGCAACCCAGTGATTCTGGCCATGAAAGCATGAGCAAAGGTCTTGCAAAGCTGACTTGGAGGTCTCCAAAGTCAAAGTCAACTTGATGATGATGATGATGATGATGAAGATCAATAAACACTGCATACATTGCCTGGTATTGTCCACACTGCAGGCTTTCATTCTGGAGGCATTGCAGGAGGTCGGTAGGGATGGCCGATATAAAAGGCCGGAGTCTCCGCTGGAACCAGGCGGACACAAACTCAGTCTCGTTGAAGCGGTCCTCCTTTTGCAGCCTCTCCTCCCATAAAGCTCTCAAGATGACCACTTTCCAGTTGGAGGCAATGAGCGAAGAGTTCACAATCTACAAGGAGGAGAGATGACTCTTTATGAAGATACTGAACATCTCTATCGGCCAAATGTGGTAGGCAAATGAAAAGGAAAGTCTGGAATCAAGCAAAAGCATCCAATGTCCATAGATGCAGCCAGAGTTAGGAGAGTACAGTATATTCTGGCGTATAAGACTACTTTTTAACCCAAGAAAATCTTCTCAAAAGTCAGGGGTCGTCTTATACGCGGGTGTAGTCTTATGCATGGGAGTCGTCTTAACTCTATATTTTAACTGGAAAAGTTGGGGGTCGTCTTATACGCCCAGTCGTCTTATATGCCGGAATATACGGTAATTACTGTCCCAAAAAGAGATTCCCAGCAAATTAAAATACAACTCTGGCTCCCTTGATAATGTTTTAATCTGAATATAAATTAATATATTAAAAATGTCTTGGATATAGGAATATGCTTATGGATATATATGTGTTTGTGTGTGTATTTAAACACATACACACATTTATACACACTCCATGCCCTTGTTGCTGCAAGAAGAGGTTGATAATTAATCTATTATTATTATTATTATTATTATTATTATTATTATTATTACACTTCAGACTGGACTTATAAATATGTAGCTCAGGTATGGGCAAACTTGGGCCCTCCAGGTGTTTTGGACTTCAACTCCCACAATCGGCTGTTAGGAATTGTGGGAGTTGAAGTCCAAAACTCCTGGAGGGCCGAAATTGGCCCATGCCTGGTGTAGAAGCACCCATGCTCTTCTAGACCTGCTCCCTCCAAACAGTTTTGCTTCTACCTTGGTATTGAAGCTCTCCAGCGCTGCCTCCAGCTCCTCCGCATCCACTTCGCTGACCAGGACCCGAACCACGTCGAGTGGGATGTCCGCCTTCCTCCGCAGCGAAAAGTCCAAGGCACTCCCAATGAAAGTCCGGTTCACCTGGCTCAGGTTTTGGAACTATATACACACAAAGAGTCAGCAAGTTCAGCAGCTTGGCGGTTTAACCCGCTGCGCCACAGAGGGCTCATAAAAGATCAAATATTATATGGCAGCGTAGATTCAGCCTATGTAATTCTGTGGTCATCTTCCACTGGAATTCAATGACAGAGCAATGCTAGAAGACCTGGAAATGTGTAAAGAGAAGTGCTCCCTCCAGTTTTTAAAAACCCAGCCATTTATTTATTTGTGTTTTCTCACTTTCACAGGGGTCCTTATTCCCCTAACTCCAGCAAATGTGGACGGTTGAAATAGTCCAAATCCTGAGGACTGTCATAGGTCACTATGCCTTATTTATGGAGTGTCTTTTCTATTATTTCCGCCATTGCGATAACACAAATTAGGCAATAAGAGTCCAATCTTGGTCTTGTTTAACGACCAAGGCAACGGGTACAAAATCCGTTCAAAGTTTGTAAAGGAAACTTGTCGCTCTCCATGATGCAACACTTTGCAGAAGAACTTGTTTGCAAAAGTGGACTTTCCGGAATTTTGGACTGGAAAAGAGCCGCCTGTATGTTGCCCAACCCCATTAATATATCATGGGGTTGTTGTGTTGAGAATCCTGCCCACAAACGGATCTCTGAAAATGCATTGTTTCTCATTTACTTACATTGTCGCAAACCATGAAGCTGAGATTGGCCGATATTTTGACATCGTTGCTGCAAGGAGACAAACAGACAGACAGACACAAAGTCAAGCCAATGAGGCCACACAATGGAACAAAAGGGCGCATCTACACTGGAGAATGAATGCAGTTTGAACCTGATTAAACTGTGATGGGATCCTGAGAGTTGTAGTTTGGGGAGGCATCAGCATTCTTGGGCAGAAAGAGAAGATGAAATGCCTTCCTTGCAAAACTACAAATTCCAGGAATTCCATAGCACTGAACCATGACAGTTAAAGTGGTATGAAATCGCATTGATTCTGCAGTGTAGATGCACCCAAAGTCTACCTTAATTCCACATAAGTGTGATCCATATAGGATTCCATGTGCAGCCAGTAGGTCAATATAATAATATAATATAATATAATATAATATAATATAATATAATATAATATAATATAATATAATATGATATTGTATATGTATATATGTATATATGTGTATATATGTGTATATATATATGTATATATGTGTGTGTGTGTGTGTTATATAGTAAGTGTATGTGTATATATATAATTAAATATAATATTATATATAGGTATACATTATATATATTAAAATTTATACTTCTATATGCACATATATGCATAAATTATACAATATATAATATTATATTACATTTTATAATTCTATCTATCTATAAATTATATAATATATAGATCTTCCAGTGGCAAAGTGGTGCATTAATTCTACAGTGCAGACTGTATTTTGATAGCTAGATCAAAAAGATAGATTTTTGGTGGCAAAAATGTCTAACTTAGGTGAAGGCATGATGATAGTTAAAACATATAACAGCACAATGATTTCTGAGAAATACCTCCCCACTTCTTCACAAACTTCAGTCGCTGTTGGAAAGAAAAAAGGGACATTAAGTTGGAAGTTCTTTCCTATATATATCTTCTATCTTCTATCTATCTATACACATAATAAAAGCGAACTTATGATTATGTGTATGTGACTGAGCTGTCCACTGACAAAGAAGAGCTCCTAATTTTACAAACAGCTATAGCTCCCACCACTCAGGAGACACCAATGGCCCTCCCTCCAATGACATTGCAGGTTATAGCGAGCACTGTGAACATGTCCAAGAGCCCTGCCAATGTCCTCCATCAACATCATACTGCCCACTACCCAAGTGAAGGATTTCATACAGGGACCATTTCCTACGTCTTATGTGTTTCTTACCCCAGTGTTCCTTACTTTCTCAGTTGGTGTGGAATTTGCATGACTCCACCCATTGCCTCTCCCTGAACCCTTTCCTATTCTTTTCTATGCCACACAGCAGAGGAATTGATCAGCAACTGAACATCCTAGAAAGGTTTGGGGAGAATTCACCATTATTTATAGAAGTTGTAG